GAAGGAAGGAAGGAAGGAAGGAAGGAAGGAAGGAAGGAAGGAAGGAAGGAAGGAAGGAAAGAAAGAAAGAAAAAAGAAGGAAAGAACAAGGAAGAAAGAAAATAGAGAAAGAAATTGAGAGACTTGGAGTCACAATACATTTCCTGGGTGAAAACAAAGGAATCTAATTCCTTTGCACTTGAATCCTGACCTATCCATCATTCTATCTTATCCTGTCACCCTCACATCCACAGAGATCCAAGCCATCTGAAAGTTCGCAGTCACTTAGGGCTTCCTGTAGTAATTCTCGTAAGAATCCAGGTCTGTGAAGTTATCCTTATAGTGGGACTCCTGGCTCTAAGAAATCCTTGGGTGATACCCTATGAAAAAGACCCTCTTTCAGTGCAGTGAAGGTCATCTTTCTCCACCATGGATCTCGATTCTAAGGGTGGTACTTCCTGAAAGAGCTCCTAGAACACATACAAATTTCAGAGACAAAAGGGAACATCCCATGCTTCCAATGTGGAGCCTGGCAATGAGCTGACAACTTAAATAGCATGCCTCACCCATGAGCCAGGCCAGCTGGTCTGTTTTACTGGTTGGGACTATGCCTTAGAAACGTGCGTGCATTTTATTTTCTGGTAGGTTGTAATTCGTCCCTTTGTTGCTATGGGATATTTAGGAACACGGAAGGCTAATCACTTGTCATGATATGACTTCTGTTTGAGATGAGGAAAGGCTCGGACCCAAATCTTAACTACAACAACCTAAAGGTGGCCACGTACTGTCCCCTGTCTCCCTTTTGCAGGGCTCTCACTTTGCAGTGGTTCACAGCTTAAAAAGAAAAAGCACACTGCCATGGTTAGTAATAAATCCTTAAATCCTAACAACTTAATAAACCCAAAAAGGTAGCTATACCTAACTGAAAGTGGCGCGCAAAGTAATATCCATCACTGGTCTGAAGACTGGTATCCCTGTTGACTACAGAAAAGTAAGTGGAAACCACATGCATCTATTCTAAACTTATCCGCAGAGCATGATGAAGCCAGCCTCCAACTAAATTAAAAAGAAAACAGCAATGAGCTCAGTTTCTACCGCTCTCATTGGTCTCAATGGCCTGTCAAGGCATGGAGAGCATCAAGCCTTAGGACCAATCTCTGATGCAGGGACAAAAAGAGAATGTTCTTGTAACATTCTCTCTTTCAGGCCAAAATGTTCCTGTTCAAAAGAGAAGCTTCCTGCAACAAATTTCAGAGATAGAAATGTCACCTCCAGCCCCAACTATCTTTTTTACCTTGTCAACACAATGAATATCCTGAATCTAAAGTAAGAAACGGAGGTAATAGTTCATGAAGGGCAGAGCACATGGCAGAGAGTTTATATGCTTAGCATCATTTAATTTACCTTCCCCCAAAAAGACTCTTATCTGGGTGGTCATACAGAAAATGACATTGCGTCTCGGGAAAGAGAAATGCACCTGCGCACAGGCATTCTGTTAGTGACCAGTAGATGAGACAAATCAGCTTTGCCGGACTCTGAATCCTGCACTTAGAGACACCCCAGGTGCCATGAATTAGCATCAAGACTCACTTGAGTAAAAGGTCTTCAAGTCACAGAGTACAGAGTTGAGGGAAACCTTTGTACAGCTGGGAGCAAGGGAACTTTCACACTTCAGAGGTACTGCTGAGAGCTTGAACCCCACCCCTTCATGGCAGCACCAAGCCTCTAGGCTCCACAAGCCCCTATGCAGCCCCAAGGAAAATAACAGAAAAATGAAGAAAGCCTCAAGAGCTCTGATAAAGCCCTGGGGTAATTTAGACCCACTAACTATCCTTGAAAGGAAAACTGAAGAAGCCAGACTCAAAAGGCTACACTTATGTCCTTACATACTGATGACCTTCTGGAAAATTAAAAAAAAAAAAAAAAAAAAAAAAAAAAAAAAAAAAAAAAAAAAAAAACGCTGTGCAAATATAACATTAGTGGTATAAAGGCAGAGAGGTGAAATAGGAGTAGACTGTAAAAGGGTCTGAGACATGTTTTTATGGTACGATAGAAATGTTTTCTTTCTTAATTGTGGGAGACATCGCATTACTATCCATTTGTCAAACACCACTGAATTATACATCAGAACCTGGTACACTTTACACATGTAAATTATATATCAGTAACCCTCAGTTAAATGTGTATGCATACAAGAAGCACAAGTGACAGCTTAATCAATAAGTGCATGTCGTGCAAGCCTGGGGACCTCAGTTTGAGTGCCGGCACCCGTGTCAACAGGTGAGCGTGGTGACGCACACACTCATAAGCCCATAGCTGGAGGGGCAGAGACAGCAGCATCCCTGGGGCTTGCTGGCCTGCCAGCCTAGCCTAATCTGCAAGCCCCAGTCCCAGTGGGAGACCCTGTCTCAAGCACTGAAGCGAACAGCCCCTACTTAACAAAACCCAAAGACTCCAGACTTCCACATGTAAGCGCATGCGCATCTGCACATGTGCAAGCGGCTGGCTCCTGATTAACAAAAGCCAAAGACTCCCAGCAAATATGCACCTACAGCTGTACAAGCACATGCACACACAGGACATCTGAAATAAAAATTTCAAAGGTTGTGCACGTATGTAAACAAATATGTGCTTCAAACGGACAATAGTCGATAAACCTTGGGCTACAATTTCTATTATATAACTGCGGTGCATAAACCCTTGCGTCCAAACACCTCCATCATTCAACCTTCCCAGTGGAGAGATTTCATGGGGGCAGCTACTGCCAGCTGTCACACGACGGCCAGGAAGGGTCTGAAGGGAATTTTCAGGCAAACACTTCTGTAGCAGACAGAATGAGAAGCTGATTGCTGGGGTTATCTAGGCTCCCTGCCTCCTTTCCAGAATTTTCAGAGGTCATTCTGTGTGCTTAGTAGAAACACTCATCTGGAAAATTGCCTTAAGCCAGATTAAATATACTGTCAGTGTTTTTAAACCTGTATTTCACATAGCATGGGCGTCTTTATCTTGATACCCTGTTGCAGTTGGAAGGCTATACCTGTCTCTATGCTGAGCCCTGAACAGATAGGGAGGGAAGTCTTGCTTAAAATATCAAATAGTATAGCTTTCTGTTGTCTGAAATAGCTTGGCGTGTACTAAAAATGAGAATTTGGTAAGCGTAAATACACTAGCCTAGCCTCTCTATTCTTCCCCTTGGGCTACAAGTTCTCATAAGCATCTTCTTTAGCAAAGGTGCCTGTCTTTCTTCTACTTTGGCTTTTCTGTTTGTTTGTTTGTTTGTTTGTGTATGTTTTTGTTTCTTTGAGACAGGGTTTCTCTGTGTAGCCCTGGCTGTCCTGGGACTCACTCTATAGACCAGGCTGGCCTGGAACTGAGATCCTCCTGCCTCTGCCTGCCTGAGTGCTGGGATTAAAGGCGCGCGCCAAGGCAGCAGCAGCAGCAGCACCACCACCCAGCTGGTATTTCTCTTTCTAGTTCTGCCTCTTAGACTCCTTTTCTACCCAACACCTGTTATTTGAGAAGGATCTGAAGGTTTCAGACTCATTGTTAATAGCTCAGCTGTGAAAAGAACATGAGCCACACAGATACAGGCTTGCACTGAAAATAATCAGGTCAGTCATGCAAATTAATAAGCCCTTAAGGTCAGATCTCTGACGATAAAGGGGCAGACTGAGATGATAAAAAACTTCCGGAAAGGATGGATTCCAAAGGGAAATGAACCCTAAGACCCTTCCAACTCTTGGGCTCTTCTGGAAGTTATTGATATTTTCTGCTAGCATGCGTGCTTCTGATCTCTAATGTGTGGGAGGCAGACATTGTGAATGTCTCATGGGAGGATGTGGTCTCTGTGTTAAGTTGGGGGTTTGTCTGTCTTTTTAAAATTAAAAACGGTAAATAAAACAAAAGCCCTTAGTACAGTGCACTCTTTAATCCTTTATTTAAAAAAAAAAATAGGAGTACAGCATGTGAAGTTTAGGATTTGAACATCAAGGGAAAATAGCTAAGACTGTACGCTGGAGCTATCCAAAGCCGCTAGAGTATCTGCACCTAGCGTGCTCTCAGGCACTGCACTGATTAACCAGATACCTAAAGAACTTTCTGTATCCTTCTATATCACTTTCTAGAAAAAAAAATTCATTTTCTTACAACTTCTAGGTTTAAAGAGAGAAATTACATGAAATAACTGGTACAACTTATTCCAAGATCTTTATTATACAACCAGAAAAGCCACCATTATGTCACTGTCAACTGATTATTGTTTTACAATCTTGTAGTTACATAAGCCAAAATTGCATGATAAGACAAGAAAATGTTAGTTGTGTCTTATATCTATCCCATAGAAAACTAGTTAATGTTAAAAAAAAAAAAAAAAACACATAATCAGTAGAGAAAGGCAATTTGTTGCTAAGTCTGCTTCTAATCTCATAGCTGCCTTGGAAACTAAATTATGAGGTAAAGGGTTCTGAGTCATGTAGGTGAAGAATGATAGAAAAGAAAAGCCAAGTATATCATTTGAAACCCCCTCCAGGATTGATTTTCAGTGTACAACCTAATGTACAAAGGGTCCATTCTCCAGAAAACTCAAAATGTCTAACATATTATTTAAGATGCCAAATTTACCTATCTGGTAAGCACAAAGCAGTTTCCAGGAGCCAGTGAAGAAAACAAACTTAGATATTCAATCTCTTGTTCACCTTCTGAGGTTGATCTACCTAATTAAGCCCCAGTGTCCTTTCCAGCATGGACAAGCCAATGAGGCTACATGATAGATGCTTGGTCACCATGCAAATTTTCCTAGAAAAAGAATCCCCAGAATTCATACAGAGTTCCCCTTAAGTTCCTTAACTGCTAGACTTCACCTCCCTAGAAATTTCATTAGATTCACAATACCCCAGCCTCTGAGAAATTTATCTGGAAGGACCTTATTTCGGTTGTTAAATTCATCCAAAGAAGATGACGGCTCCCAAAAGAAATAAAATTGGAACAAATAGCCTAGGCCTCTACTGTGGTAGAACTACTATCTCAACTAACATCACTTCTAAAGAAGCACATTCCTGGACCTCCCTGCAGTACCTAAATATGTGGAGAAGGACACTTCCAACAAACTTTTTAATTTCTCCTTGACCCTAACGCTGAGGGAGACTCAGGGCTTCTGTAAGAAGACAAGATCATAATTCAGAAGATAACCATCATTGTAGACATAAAGTTTTTGGTCAAAGGGGTGGTAACTAATGCTCTGAATTCTTTCCTGCATCTTTCTCATGGTGATGGCTAGATTGCCTTCCCTACTTGTGTGTGTGTCATAGTAGTAAAAAATCTCTTCTGTTCTGGTGGTCAAAGTGCGAGTAGCATAGAGAATTCCACATACCATGAAGGCATTAGAAACAGATGGTTTGTACTGCTTGGTAACCCAGGTGTTTATCACCTCAAGAGAGGTGTCATTGAGTTTACTAATCACTATGTTACCAGTGCTGTCCTCAGTTGCATAAATTACCCACAGTCCTTCCTCATCCACAGAGAAGTCAATGTCTTGCCAATTCACATTCGCATATGAAAAGCGGTTATTATAGGCAGCCCTAGGGAGAGGTCGAGTCACAGTAGCGACATTGGTAGTCAGGTTAATTTTGACCATGTTTCCCCCATTATACCAGTTCACATACAGGTTGTTGTTGAATGCTACTGCACCACCCCCTTGGCCGTAGCGAATCCGATATTCTCGAAAATGTGAATAGATTAACAAATTGTCCAGTGAGTTATAAAGTCTGTAATATTCAAGAGACCTTGCATCTGAGTTCAAAGGTGCCACCCAGTAGAGGGTTCTCTCTGGATGCTCAGGAGAGTAATCTCGACCCCAGGCACCATATTTATAGCTAAACCCGAGCCAGTTGAGCTGAACCACGGAGGGAGCACTGATGTTCATCACACCACCATGACTGCAGCTTCCTGTAAAAGAAGAAGAAGAAAGACACGCTTAGAGAAAATAGATGATTAAACAGTTTAATATCTTTAAGAACCAAAACAACCCTCAAAAAATGTTCTGATCATGCTTCAATCACAATGAAGGCTCCAGAGGAGAAGAGCTACCCCTTGTTTCCGTCTCAGTGTGATCGCACTGCCAGATCTAGAGAACTGCCTCGTGCTTCCATCAGTAGGTTTTCAAATTGGAAAATGGGCACAATATAACTCCAGATAAAGCCATATTTAAAAGTCTGAGATCCCAGGGAGAAAAGAGAGAGTTGGTGTTTCATATATTTTCTTCTCCCAGAAAGCATGTTTGAAAATATCTTAAATTTTCTGTGTCAAACTGAGAAAATAATATTCTAGAAGCATGTTTTCTTCATAAAGCCAAAGGGGCTACCTACCAAGGTCAGCCCTTGGGAGCACAGTGATTAATGAAGGATAGTCCTTGGGGAGTCTCCTTGCCTTCTTCGGAACCCCAAGTGAACATCCTCAGCAGCCATCAAAGTAGCTCTAAACTAATCTCAGAAGAGAAAGCTTTAAATACCTCATTTGATAGGTCCAGACAGATAGTCCTATAAAGGACTATCAGCCTTGAGAAGCTACAGCATCATCTAGCCGTGGACTTGCCTAATGTGTACCCAGAACATACCTCATCCCATAAATCATCTGGTGACTATCTTGCCTCAGAGCTTTGAGATGAGTCTATCTGTACGACTCTTCATAATCCATATGCTACTGCACCATAGAATAGCAGACATGTATGTCATCCTTCCCCTCCTAACACAGTCATTGTCAAAATGTGTGCAATCGAGTGGGACCAGATGCACTGATCCATTGGATCTTAATTCCATATAACCCTTGCATAAATTGTGCAGGCTGGGCAACTGGCCCTTTGGTTGTATAGCCTCTAAAATGCCTGCCAACCCAAATGGGCTTGTGAGCTATATTTAAAAAATGAAATAAAATCCCTCCAGCATTTTTATGACATCTATCCAAAAAAAAAAAAAAAAAAAAAAAAAACGGACACATTTTTCTGGTGTTACTACAAATATTCTTCTTTTAAAAAATAATAAGATACTTTATTAGATAACAAAGAAAAATACAACTTCAATTATGTTTGAAGTCGTTTTTCCATGTTTGCTGCTCAGTATACGGAGAGGGAAGGAAGGATGAGAAGGAGGAAAAGAGGAGGGGAAGGGATGGAGAGGGAGAGAGGGAAGGAAGGAGGAAGGAAGGGAAGGAAGGAGGGGCAGAATATAAACGCTGTGTCTGGCTCTGAGTGCCTAGAAGGAATCAAGGAACCATGGAGAGCACATGTGTGAACTATAGCCAAAGCAAAGCTCCACAGAACTGGCTGAGATTATCATTAGGAAGTGAGGGGAAGCCAAGTAACTGACTGGGTCAAGGAGGGAAAAGACCTGTTCCCCTCCTTGCTAAATGCCTCGCTCTTTCCCCTCCTTACTCAAGGACTGCTGGGAGGTGAAACCATTACTAGAAATCCTGCTTTTATTTTTCCAATCTGCTGGGACTTTTCAGTCCCAGAATTAAATACGTGCTCCTTAAATGCTCTCATAAATCCACAGTTGGTGGGAAAGCCAGCCAACCATACAACAGGTAGAGAAATAAAACCACACTGTACCCAACCTCAAATAATTTTGCATATCATTAAACAGAATACAGTCACAGGTTGATTTTAATAATGCATGCACCATTTCATAAATAAAAAAAGCAACGTGTGTTCAGCCAGGAGACTGCTCTCTGCTAAAGAAATAATAAATAAAATTATAAATTATTATTTCTTCCCCTAAAAGTGATCTCTCAGATGAATGCTTGTTTGCCTTTGTTTATGAAACAATGCATGAATTATTAAAATAAAGTTAGCAGTGTGTTCAGTTTAATGATAACAAAAACTGTTCCAGTTTCCATATGCTAAAACTGGATTTCCTGGCTAAAATACCTAGCAGAAAGCTTATTTATACAACCACATTTCAACCACTGGGAGGAAATGAAAGTCACTTCTCTTCTTTCAGGTTGGGAGACTTAAGAGTTGCTTGCTTCATTGAACCTGACTTTCTTGGAAAGAAAATATCCCAAACCAACAGTAACACAATATTTCAGAAAAGTTAATGATGCATGAAACTTATCCTCACATTATCAAGGAGTGAAAGAGAGGCTATTCTGTCTCCAGTGTGAAATTTTTAGATATGAAGGAACCAAAATACAAGATTAATACTGCTAAAATTATAGCAATGGTTCCATCGTTAAAACAATAATCCCACCTCAAATATAGCACTAATAGTATTCCAACTGGTAATAATAAAGGTTTATTATTTCTTAATGTTGACCAGAAATTTACACTGTGCCTGTTACAAATATTAGAATTGAATGACACTTCAATTTCTTTTCCTCATCTCCCAATCATTCCTAAATACTCATCTATCCATTTTGTTACTTTCCGTTTATCTTCTACCCCCTTTGGATATTTTCAGTGCTCTGGATATGGCTAAAAGGAAATAGAAATAGGGTTCCCCTCCCCCCAAAAACTGTTATTGTCAGGACTGAGGCTGGGGCTACAGTAGTGACAAGTCAGGGGAAAGGCTGTGGTGGGCTCCCCCAGTAGCCAGAAACAAACAAACAAGGAAACTCCTCAAACTGACAGCCATCTTCATGCCCACTGCTCAGCAGAGTGGGCCTCCTCTACCCTCCTTACTTGGATCTTCCACCCACCCATCTTTGTTTAACACCCTCTTCTAGCTCCTGCCTTCATGTCAAGGGCTTAGATATATATTCCATTCCCTTTATTGCTCATTTCCCATCCCAACTTCACGAAGGCCCTTTGACAACATTCAGTTGTCCAGCCCATGATTCAAGAACTACTGAGGGCCAGTGAATCATTTCGCATGTGCTGGTGGAAAAGAGCAAAGCAGCAAACCTTTGGGATCCAGGGTATGCTTCAGCTACTCCATAAATAAGGAGGCAAAGCTAACTAAGGAATAATCAGGTGTGTGCCTTGTGGAACATGCCTTTCATTCCAGAAATCTCAAGGACATTCCCTTTGTTAGGGCAGCTCTGGCACAGAGAAGGTGGTATCAGACAGACTCAAGCCTAAATCCTGACTGCACTCTTTAGTAACTGTATATCATGGGGCAAGTTGCTTAATGATCTCAGACTCAGTTTCCTTAAGTCAAATAAGCAATGACTGCCCTGCAGGACTGCTGGAAGGAACAGAGTTAAGGCTTGATAAGTGCAACTCAACCAATAGTAACCACCATTATCATATTCGTGTCATGGTACAAGCTCTGGTTTACATGGCTGTTTCCTAGATAGTGCCGTTAGGTGTTTCTTTACCCTTTCTGGTAGTCCTAGCCAACGTAAGAGGGCCTGCCATATAAGAGAATAAAGGAATAAAAGACAAATCGAAACATTAAACCCAACCTTTCATTTACAAAGCTAGAGAGATACACCCTGCTACACATCTGATGTATTTACTGTACAGAATACAGAGCAAGGGATTCCTTATGCAAAGGTCTGCTCTTCATCATGCAACCCATTAGCTCCTGCTCTGGTATTCTCATACTCCTGAGCCTTGAAATACGGCTATGCAAACTTTTTAAACTAATAGACTGGATTTTTTAAAGACAAACATTGGTATGCCTACAGAGAATGCTTAATTACGGGTCTGTCAATGCAGATTCTCACCCAGTCAACTAAGTTGTCTGTGCGCTAAGACTAGAGAAACTATGATTAACTTTAAGAATTAGGTGATCAACCCAGGTGTAATGGCTCACACTTTTAAGCCTAGTATTCAGAAGCCTTAGGATATATATATATATATATATATATATATATATATATATATAGGCTTGGCATGAATGTCAGGCCAACCTGGGCTACACGATAAAAACCTGTCTCAAAAAAAAGAAAATCCCAAAACAAACCAAAGAACTAGGCAAGTAAACGATTATAATTATAAGAAAACTGATAATAGATTGATTCGGAATCATTGGATATATGCCCAACACTGTGTGCATAGGAATTTAGCATGCCCCTCCTGCTAAATGAATTATGTCCTGTTCAATAACCCACCATTTACTGTAGGTACCTTCTGTGTACCTACAAAGCCTAATGTCTCCAAGCAAAATGGTGACCACTGAGAATTCTCACCATATTTTTTGCTAATATGCTGCTGTCCTTTAGATCAGAGGGAAAAAAAAAATAGATTGAAGTCATTGTTTGCCGGGGGTGGGGGGGGTCAGAAATAGAAGACCAATTACTTTAAGTTAGAAAGTTCTGCAAAATGAAGCAGGAAAAAGATGTTTTGAAGCAACACACACACACAAACACACATTTACTAAAACCAAAATATATTGGGTGTAAGTTCAAGCCGATCACTACTAGACTAGCAAACTACAGCTGCAAGGGTGGAGCACAGAGAGGGCAGAATTATTTTAGAGCTGAGACTCCCATACAGACTGTTTTTGTTCTGTGCAACTCTGCAGTGAAGAAGAAGAAGAAGAAGAAGAAAAAAAAAAGCAGACAGGCCAGATTTTAAAGTCCCATAATGGTGAGGAACTTTAATTAAAGTCTTCACAGGCTCACAACTTCGTGGTGCCTGGGGATTTTCCAATTCTGCATTATCAACCAATCCAAACATGAAGAGAGCAAGTGAAAGAAATTGATTTAAAAACATGACAAAAGTCAGTTTAATATAAACATCATAAATATAATATGAACAAAACTGGAGAAGGGCCAAGAGGTTTGGCAGGGATCCAGGTGCAGCCAAGGTTGTGAGAACAAGAGTAGAAATCTGGGCTCCATTTGCTTAAACAACACAGCTGGGCTGTGATTACTCACAGAGGTCTAGGTGTAAAGGCCTAAGGAAAGGTTCTGGAGACATTTCTAAGAAAAATAACACAAAGGGGCCACTTGCTTTTTTCCCCCCTAAATACTAAGCAGCACATTTATCTCCCTCGGTGCCACCCTTAGGTGATTGACAGCTTACACTCTGAGTTACCAGGGGGTTCTGAGATGGCCAGAGACAGATGACATTATACTGTCACAGAGTGCCAGTGTGCCTTCAAGAAAAGCAGCATCCTTCAGACCTATGCCCCTCCACTGAGACATAGGAGAACGAAGTGAGATGGCCCTGAATACACCTTTTTGCTTTAAAATGCCCTGGATTCCAAATGGTGCATAGCAACCTGCACCAGGAAGATCTATTGCAAGAAAGATGGTTGCCGGGGGCTGCGGGCTCATCTTTATCAAAGGTCGTGTCGCTGCTTTGACTCCTGTCTCACAGAGCTGTCATGGTCCAACAGAACCAGCTCCTTCTTCTGACATGCTTCTAACACTGATCCCAGACTAATTCTGCTTTAGTTTGTCTCTGAAGACAGACCACAATCCTTGTCCTAAATGTTCACTATAAGACAGATTAGAACAGACCTCTGACTGCAACTGGAGGGTATGTCCCCTGAATAAGACCAAGAGGCTTAGAACTATAGTCCTAGTTAATTAAAGCCTTAAGGAAATCAGTTACATTGGCAAGATTCAGAAATATACAGTCCAAAGGAAAAAGGCTCTTGAGAATTAGAATTCATAAAAACAACAAAGGCTTCACAATTTGATGACAAGCAATACTTCTGAGATGCTCAAGACCCTGGGAGAAGTTCCTTCGGTGTGGTGTCTCTAAAAGGATGGGAGCCAATGGTGCGAGCAAAATGCCGGTGGGAGCTACCTCAGTGCACCAGGACATAGGCCTATCTCTGTTCACAGCCAGGTTTTCACTTCAATTATCATGATTACTAATAATATCCGTTGCCGGTGTATGGATGCTGATTACAGAGCTCCGAGCTTCGCAAGCACTGTCTCATTAATCCCCATAGCAACCCTATAAGGTGAGGACAATTATTCTCCCGGTTCACAAAGAAGATGAAGGATCTTTTCTCTGCAGCTGCATAGCTGGTAAAGTCAGGGATTCCCATACTCTCCAAGCTACCACTCCACTTTTTCCATTAAGGGATGACTTTAGGTACCTGCCTACCACACACACACACACACACACACACACACACACACACACACACTGTCCAATAGGCAACCTGGGAAAGAGAGAGAGGCCATCCTCTCCTGCTGGATGGGTAGCAAGGCATGCCCATAGCATGTGAGACCACCATCTCTGTAATCCTTAGTTTGTTCCAGGACTCAGAACGCAGCAGAGAGCATGCACCTCAGAGAGGAATAAAGGTAAAGTACAGAGGAGTGTGAAAGAGAGGACAAGAAAAAGAAATGGCAGAAAAACAAAGGCATCCGCCCAGCCTATACCTAAATGAGTTCATCTACCAAAAGGCAATGCCACATAAAGATCCTAAATGTGCTGCCATCCCCAGCCCCATAGCTCTTCTCACCTTTAGACTCTGTTTTCCTGATAGGGCAATGCAAAAGAAATGTGTGTAACTAGTAGGTTTTGTTTTGAAAAACGCACTGTGCTCTTCCTCTGCGAATTTAAGACTATTGAAAAATAGATGTAGAAGAATAAACCCAGAACTGCAAAAGTGCCATGCTTCATCCATCACTGAGGTCCCAAACCCCTTCCTCACCCAAATCAAGGCTCATTATGGGATGGGGTTCTCACTAATGGTAAAAACATATATAAAGTAGGCTTACCAGGGGCAGGAGGAGGGGGCATGGCAGTCACAAGCCCGCTCTTAGAGGCCTCACATTCCTTCAGCCTGGTCTTCAGAGCCAAGATCTGCCGGCGAATGCTCAGGACATTGTTCTTGTCTAGCGTCTCCAGCTTCTCTACCAGGAGAGTCATATTCCTTATCTAAGGAAATAAAAATTCAGAGTGACTTTATATTATTGTGCAATTTCTTTCATAAACATTCTGGGGCTGAATTTGTCATTTAGTGAAACATTGCTACAGAATACACCAGAGATTCTTCTGAATGGTTTCATTTGGAAGAATACATTTTATGGTTTAGACTGAACGCCTGTCACATCTCAGGCAATGTGTGTGACAAGAAGAAAATGGCAACGATTTTAACAGCTTTAATAATAGAGCACAGGCTCACTCTAAGCATTCACAAATGTCCATTAAAGTTCATTTCTAATAACCTTCCCTTATAAACTCGTGTTTACTCATGTTGTATTATAATTAAGTTTCTAATGAATAGTGAGAGCTAGAAAATGTAAATTTTAAAATATGTAACTGGAATTCTCAATTATAGCCCATGTCATGACTGTGCTGGTAAATGATGGTTGATGTGAATTATCCAACCATAACATTAATATGATAATCTTATCCATAGATTGTTAAAGACTTGCTAAGACATATTCACAAGAAATCTTTCTTTTTTGCTTAATTCCTGAATGTTTTTATTTTTCAATTTATTCTTCGAGAATTTTACACAATATATTTTTATCATATCATATTCTTTTCTCCCAACTCCTCCCAAATCCTCCTCCTCCACCACACTCATTCAACTTCATGCTATTTCTCTCTCTTAAAGAACAGAAACAAAGGGAAAAGAAAACTAAAAAATATGGAGCCCAATTTTGTGTTGGCAATCTATTCCTGAGCATGAGGTTGCTCTTGGAGTGTGGGTGATGTGCTCAGTGTCATTCAAGTAAAGAAAACTAATTTTCTTTCTTTTAGTAGCTATCATTTACCAATAGCTTCTTGGCTAGATGTGGGACTTTGTGCTCACTTGCCTTCTTTCATGCTTAGATTTTTATCTTCCTTGAGTTTGCACAGATTTAATTCATGCTGTCAGTCTCTGTAAGTTTGTGGGTGTATTCTGTTGTATCTGGAGAATGCTATTTTCTTAAAATAATCCACCACCTCCGACTCTTGTCATCTTTCTACCTCCTCTTTCCTTATAGATCCCTAAGCATCAAGGGCAGTGTGGTGATAAACACATCCCATTCAGACCTGAATACTCCAAAGTCTTTCAATTTCTGCACATTGTCCAGCTGTCAGTCTCTATGTTAATTACCATCTATTTCAGGAAGAAGCTTCTCTGCTGAGTGTTGAGTGATGCACTGATCTATGGGTATAGCAATATGTCATCAGGAGTTGTTTTATTGCTATGTTGGACAAATCACCATCCCAGATTTCAAGCTGTACTAAGAGCCATAGTAATAAAAAAAAAAAAAAACAGTATGGCACTGACATAAAAACAGACACATTGATCAGTGTAATAGAAATGAAGATCAGATATAACTCCACACACCAACAAACACTTGATTCTTGACAAAAGACAAAAGCAGAAAATGCACCCTGCAGAAAGACAACATCTCCAACAAATTGTGCTAGTGAAACTGGATAGCTGCACATGGAGAAATAAAAACTGATTCATAGCTATTACCTCATACAAAACAACTCCAAACAGGTCTATAATGTAGATACACAAGAAATTTAAATATGTAGAGAATAATTCTAAGAGAAACAGATAATACTCAAAAGGGAGAGATTTCCACAATCAAGTAAACTGTATTTCTAGTCTCATGAGGATAAATCCAGGACAGAGACGATGCCTGAGCTAACACGTCCAAAGACAAGTCATTCCAATTCATGTCATCACTTTCTAAAGAACTGGAAAGGTCATTTAGTTCTGGGGCAGAATTCTTAGAGTTCAACATCTGTTTCCCAGTCAACATGTTCCCAGTACACTTAACTTATTATACAAGTGTAGGCATTCATCCAAAACAGAACATGGATATACCACATGGTCCTGAGACAGGGTTGAAAAAAAGAGAGTATGCCATCTAGGTCACAGCACTTGCTCAGTCACTGAATGACATGTACTATTTTTTTCTTATTATTATTGTTTGCTTTTGTGGCAGGGTTTCTCTGTGTAACAACCCTAGCTGGCCTGGAACTTTCTTTATAGAGCAGGCTTCCCTCAAACTCAGAGGTCTGCCTACCTCTGTCTCCCAAGCGCTGGGATTAAAGGCAAAAGCCACAACTCCTAGCCCCAAACGTATTATTGATGTACTAAGAAGTGAGTCATTCTTACCTCCACTTCCAGCAAGTCAATAATTTCTGTGCTTCCAACAAAATTCTTCTTCAGCTCTATGACCAGCTTATGCATCTCCTTCACTTCCAGCTTGATCAGCTCAAAGTCCAGCTCTGTGTAAGAAATACTGTCCTTCTCCATGACCTCTACTCGGACAGTAAGGTTCTGGAGTGTCTTCTCATACACACTGATTAGCTGGATATAATCCTTCACCTGGAGGAGAAGCAGAAAGCCTAGGTGGACTCACAGAGTGATGCCAAATGGACTTCCTCCACTTCAAAATACTTGAAGATTGTTTGATCCTTGTCAATCACTGCAAAGAAGTGGTTCAAAATATATCCACTCTTTTTTTTTTATCCAAATGCAAACTAAAAATAGCACATTGCTGTGGTTTTTGCTTTCGCTTACCTATACTGAAAAATAATCTGTACGTATATCTTAATCTTCACGTTAAAGTCTGAGGAGTTAGCTCCCTAGACTGAAACGATTGGGAGCATCTCTCTTCTCAGCTCATTTGCTCAAAATCAGAGTTTCTCAGCCTCAGCACTATTGATACTTTAAGTGAGTCTCTTTCTTGTAGGGGTGGGGAGGGGAAGCCATACAATGCATTGTAAGATATTCAGTTGCTCCAAGTTATGACAGCCCAAAATGTCTGGGGACATTTTGAAATGTTCTCTGGGGATAAATAACTACCTCTACCATCCTTTTGTTGCGAGCCATTGCTCTCTCTGAGTCTAGGTATTTTCTAAAAGAGGAGAAATGCCCTGAAGAGAAGCCTTTCCTTATGAGTCATGTCCCAAGAATTTTGAGCCCCTCTGCCTTTTACAAAGAAGCATAATGGCCCAGCGAACTATACAATATCTGAGTGTAGGCACAACTGTAAAGCGCACAGTTCCTTAAGCGAGCTCTCATTTATCCCAAGAGCTGATTGTTGCAATCAGACCTTTAAATTACACATTTGCTGCATATATTTGAATGTCTGATTATTAAGTTAAAATTCCAAAAATTTCCTTGGTGGTTGAGTGCATTATCGGAATCTCCAAAAGATATTTCCATAAACAGTCGGTGACACTTCTTTGTGTGTGATCGCTAAAAGAAATATCCTGGCTTTCACAAAGACCTGCTCATTAAAAAGTTGCTGCTTTCAAGTTTTCTTTTTTAAATGTGAGCATAAGGAATACTTCTCCCCAAATTGCAGGCGTGTCAAATGCCTGGATGAATTCAGACAGATGTTGACCTGTGATCTTTCTAATGACAAAGGCAGCCCTGACTCCTGTCATTGTAGCCCTTCCACTTAACCCCACCACGCAAATTAGAATACAATCATAGGCTACAGACCTTCAGAGCTAGGGCCTCAGGAAGAGCAGAGTCTAATGAACATTGGAGTAGCAGCTCTTGGTACCACTACTGTGAATATCTCCTCAGGATATTCACTGCCACCACCGTATGCTCACTGCCATCAGACGCCCCAGTACTCGAAGGCTGATGGGAATTGTGATATTTTGGTGGATGCAGGTTTTTTGAAAAAAAAAAAGTGGGGGAGGTGCATATAACAATCAAGCCCTCCCACCCTCAAAACATAAACACAGACATAAGGTGTTCAGGTTTCAATTTCCTTTAAAAAAAAATGGTCATAAAACCTTGCCTGTGGTGAAAACATAATAATAACATACCAATCCATTGCAGAAATGGAAGTTTGAGAAATGAATGTGCTTGTTGGCATCTGGCCTTGCCAGCCAGCTCTTGGAACAAATGAAGCAGCCTCGGCTTTCCTGGAACACTTTGGTGGCACATTACAGCTACTGCTCTGCGCAAATGAGCAATGCAACTGTCATCTCTGCTAGATGAAATGCAGTTCCCCCTGGTTCGCGCAGGAAATGGAGGCATGGCCTAGAGTTTGTGACCTGTGAGAATTTGTGCTGGGTCTGCCCCAAGTTCAGATGCAAAACAAAAGGTCTCCCTAAATCTGGCAGAAAATTTTGAAGGGTGATCCCTTCTGCTGACATTTAGAAAAAAAAAAAAAAAAAAGCCGGATGGTATTTGAGAAAGACTGTAATTATGCATAGTTATGGTGGGCAGGAGAAAATTTGTAGATGGGCCGGGAAGGCTTCAGGCATGAAAGGTACAGTTGTATAGATTCTGTGTAGAAATGGCACAGACAACCCTGAGAACCTGAGGGTTTATCCTGGGCAGTTTCAGCTCAGTAAGAGCAGGCCAGATACAGTGTCCAGCCCCACACCACTGGCATTTAGTACCGTTATTTCTTTCTCCTGGATTTACAACACTTGCTCTAAACAGAGAGAGGACGCCAAAGTGGGGAGTTTGTCTCCAGAGGCTACTCAGTAATGTCTGAAGACATTTTGGTTGTTACAGCTGGGGATTGATCGTGTAGTACTGGCATTTAGAGGCCAGGGATGCTGTAAAATGCGATAGCAAAAATATGGGTGTAAGTTGGTGACGACACATAGTTGCAGTAACATCTTTGCCCAGATTTCATCACTACAGCAAGTGCGAGCCTAAGAGGACTCACAGTGCTGGCCTTGATCACCAGGCTGACCTTCACAGTTTCCACTTTATTTTATTTGCTATGCGCTTAACCATGTCATGGAATGTGTGTGTGTGAGTGTGTGTGTGTGTGTGTGTGTGTGTGTGTGTGTGTGTGTGTGTATGTGTTTGGAGTTTATTTGGGGATAGCCGCTGTTGTTCCTTGAAATAAATGTGGATTTGACATAAATAAGAAGGTAACGTGGCTGGCTATCCAGTTAAATGATTAGTGTGGTTCATAGTTCTGTTGGCTCCTCAAAACCCATGATCATAACTATAGCCAGATTACTTGAAATAAGTAAATGGCCTTTGAAACACACTGTTATTTTCAACATATCCTTAAAAGCAAATGTAATTAGGCTAATAGACCCTGAAAATATCATCAAAATGTGCAGTATTTGGTACAAGAACTGCCTGAGCTCAAATCTAACTTCAGTACCCAGTGGGCAAATCACTTAAATTCTCTTAGTTTTACTATGCTTCCAAAACCAAGGGTAATGACATCAAGCTTGCATGATTATTATAGAGACTAGAGATTATGTTCACTAAAGGCCTCGCTAATGGATGCTCTCATGAATTCTAGAAATTAATAGATAAATGGTGATTTCAGTGTTTTTCAATCTGACCTTTTCATTTACTTTTATTCCACTGCACAAAGCATTGCTCAATCAATGTTGTTTGTTTATAGGTTGTTCAAATGTCTTCCAGGCTCCCTCAACCTTCTCATGCATGAGCATATATTAGCAAGTGTGTAATATTAAATGACTTACCCCGAAGACCAGGAGCCGAGAGAGAGAGAGAGAGAGAGAGAGAGAGAGAGAGAGGAAAAAAAAGCAACCACAACAAACACTGAGCTGACTTTTGTGTCATCTCCTTCCTAAGTCACACAGGATGGGCCATAAGCAACAGAAACATCTAAAAGGCCTTTGACGTTTTCTGCAGCGGCAGCTTCCTGAGTTCCCCATGTACTGACAGATAGTGAATTAATGGAAAGCATTCTCAAGCCCTTCATCTACTCCGAGTAGGCATTCCCCCAGGTCCCTAGATAGATGGTGATTTCTAAGAGAGTCTGGGGACAGCTATAATAATTCACCTGGAAATCCAGAAGCCCTAAGCTAAAGAGATAACTTGGGATTTGAAGGCATGACTGACCTACTGCATAGCTTGGGTCTTCTCAGAAGAGTAATAAGAACCTGGACAGGGGGGAAAGATCTGGCTTGATTCTGAAGACCCAAATCCCTGTCCTGACTATAGCAGCCAGGAGAAGAATGACCTCCCTTCACCTGGGTGAACCTTGGGTTTTCTGTCATGAAAGTAGGAGTGGAGAGGCCTGCCTGTCTCCGCTGAGGGCTTGCTGGAGAGGACAAGAATAGTAGAAGCATTTGGACAACTACAAATGAAGACTTCTACTATTATCACTGGTGCCATCTACCACAACGAATCAGCCAGCAAACCTCAGCTGATGGTAAACTCCTCTGTGAGTCTTGAATTTCAGTTTTTTGAGGGGAGTGGGGGGAACAAACTATTGACACCTTCAGAACTAAAAATTTTCTCATCTGTGCTGACCCCTCTCTCTGCCTGTTATTAGCAAAGCACATGCCACCTGCCCCATGCCCACTTACAGCACTGGAATGAAATGCCCCACATTCACAAGCCTGGCAAGCCACATACTCTCCCTGGAGCAGCTTGAGGTTTCAAACTGCCCTTTATACTCCTGCCAGCAAAGATGACATGCAAATCAGTGGCTTCCACTATTTCAAAGCGAATGATTCCAACTGAAAAAGATCTTTACCTAGGATTTTCTTCTGCTTGTTATGTTTTTATGCATAACTTCTTATCTCTACTTGATTATGCTGGAATAAGGCTATGAATATTAATGATTGGAATTTATAATTTAGTACTGTGCCTTTTCTGCTGATTAATTCAAGGACATTTTATTTCTTAGGAAGCTAAGTTCCTGGAGTAGTCAAACACATTTTCCTGGACACTCATTTTAACTTAGAATATTTATCTACCAATTCAGGTTGAAAGCAGGGTCTCGAGCTCGCCATAATTTTTTGTCTTAAAGGATAACTATATTGGATGTTAAGGTGGCTATACTTAAATTGCTCAGGAAAACTTATTTGGAGGGCTGCAGTAAAGCCAGAGCTCCTTGGAAATTAATGGGGTTGTATTAAATAATGCATAATGTGATTATATTCTAGACTAGACTTCACCTGGGCATAAAATAGGAGGCTTTCTAATTGATTTGTAGCTTGGCTAAAAAGCTGGCAGGGGTCGAAACTGGAATGGCAAGTCACATTGCTCGGGCAGGCTCAGAGAAATCCATTAGAATAAATTCCTCTGGCCACACAAAGCAGAAAATAGAGGGTTCTAGCCAGGGTTTTTCCCAAGGCTGAGAGACCTATTAATCTTCATTCAAATTCCTACAGAAGACTTCAATTTTGATTTCATGGATGATATGTGGAATGAAATGTTCCTGTTGTGACGTTCAAAAATAACTGGGAGGGGGGAGGGAAGTAGGAAGATTTACACAGAGTTAAATATATGCACCATTAAAGGGGGGAGTAGAAGAGGGAAGGAAGAAGGGCAGAAAAGAAAATTGAGAATAAGAAGAAGAAGGAAAGGAAAGAAGGAGAAACAAAAAGTCGAGGAGGAGAAAAGGTAAGAAAATACCAGCAAGAGCACAATAAAAAAGAGTCAAAGACAGAAAACTGAGAATGGGGGGAAGATTTGAAGAAAAAGGGAAGAAGAGGAAGAGGAAAACGAGGAGGAGGAAAGGAACAGAAAGGTGAGAAAATGTCACAAAAAGAATCAAACAGGAAAGGTAAGGAAGATTGGGAAGAATGATCAAGAGGAAGAACCACGGCGAAGTGAATAGGAAACCAACGAAAACAAGAAGGGAATAGGAACTCAAGAAAGGTAACAGAGGAGGCACATAGACTAGATCTGAAGAGGATAGAGAGGAGGGGAAAGAAAATAAATGGAAGCTGGAAAGCTGGGCCAAAGCCAAAGAGAAGAAACCACTAAACAAAGTTGTGTCACCGGAGGGTTTCTCGAGCTTTTCCACTGCTTGAGGAGCAGAGTCCTGCTGTAGATTTTTCCATAGTGTGCGAAGTCTTGATTCCACTCTCGTCATGAGTTCCCACTCTGCTATGAGGAGCTCGGAGATTTGCTGTAAATCAAGGCATTCTTTGAAAAGAAACCGCTTACCTTTGAAAACTCTTTCTCGAACTTCTGAGAGAGGATGAGAGCTGCGAACTCCAAACGCTCCACTCTGTCAGCGGGAAAGGTGGTGTCTGGCAGGGAAACAGAACACTGGCAGGTCCCATGGCTGTCCAAGGAGCCGGTGAAATTGGAAAATGACTGTAAATAATAAAAGTCAGCAGTAAGCTGGGAAATGGACCTTTTAAAAGACAGCAGGAAATACAGAAATTGGCTTGTCAAAGGAGTGATTGGAGGCAAACAAGCAGAATCCTACACATCAATGAAAACACTATAGAGACAAGCCAACCACATCTCCACCTGTTGGTTGAGGCACCATGCTAGCAGCTTGTATCAAAAGGAAGATTCTCCATGCATGAGGAGACTTAAAGAAATCACTGCTGCCTCTATGCAAAGAAAGGGAAATAACGAGGGGACAAGAGTACTGTGTTTGAGAGACTATTAAGGCTGTCTGCTCCCTCCTCTATGAAATTAAGACTCCCTGATTGGTGGGCTATCCACTGTAGTAAGCAAGCTGTGTGAACTGAGTCTCTGGTGCATGGCCCGTGCTTGGGTGCTGTCCTTTCTCTTTCTTTCTACTAGTTTACACACACACACACACACACACACACACACACACACACACACTTACACTCCAATCCCAGCCCAGTTTCTCCCAATTATAATAAAGAAACCATGACCATGGTAAGGTCACCCAGTGAGAATTCAAATCCTCTCTTAAGCTGGGAAATTATAAAATTTACACCTTTCCAAATGGAAACAAACCATCTATTTGCTCAAAAATTGAGCAGTGTATGACTTTACAGATTCCTTCCAAATTTCTCAAATAGAAGATCTCTAGCTTACCACTTGCAAAAAATAAAAAGTCACTTTAAGTTTCTTTAAGATATTCAGGCTCACACTTCAATGCCACTGCATATTTTAAAATGACAAGTTTGGAAGATTCTGTTTTTCTTTTGTCCCCTTTGAACTACCCCAAGGGGATCCTGGCACAATTACCATTTTTCATTACTACTCTTGACTTGCAGAGTGAGTCTTGTCAGCTAACTGGCTGCACCGTCTAATGATCTTATCGGAAGGCCAGCCCAAAGCTCACCTAGGGAGCATCAGCCTGAAGGGACCCTTTGTGAGACTAAGGAGGAGAAAGCCGATTCCAGAGTCTGAAGAGATTCCTGCCATGCCTCAGAGTTCACACCGGCTGGCTTGCCGCTGAGTGTATCTGCTGCACACACAAGCTACCCTTACTGGTCTCCACGACCCCTGAACAAACTTGGTCTAGGTGGTTTTGTAATCGAGATTTAGCCCATCAGTGACCTCTGGGCCAATCAAGGCTCTTGCAAAGGATGGTGGCTGTACTGGTTTTTAAATGAGCCTAAGCTTCTCTAAAATGATAAGAATGAAGTGTGTGTGTGTCTGAGAGCAAGTGAAAGTGGATTTGTGAATGTGTATGTGTGTGTGTGAGAGAAAGAGAAAGAGAGAGAGAGAGAGAGCCTGCATGTGTGCACACATGCATGTCTGTGTGTGTGTGTGTGTGTGTGTGTCTGTGTGTGTCTGTGTTCATGTTTGTGTATCTGCATGGGGAATCCAGAGAACAACTCCATGTCATTCTGCAGGCAACATTTGCCCTTTTTGACTGAGACAGTCTCTCATTGCCCTAGGACTCACCAAGTAGACTAGGCAGCTGGCCAGCGAGCCTCAGGAGTCCTTCTCACTCTGCCTCTCAGTACTGGGACAACAACCCATACTGCCACACCTAGCTTTAAATTTGGGGTTCTAGGGACCAAGCTCAAGTCCCTTTACCAGCTGTGTTATCTTTCCAGCTCTCTATTCTAGGAAAAGTCTTGACATAGCCATCTCTTGTCTAAATCATATCCCTTCCTCATAGGAATCAGGGAGTAAGACGTAGGAACAATCAGGTTTATGATGGACATGGGAGCAAGGGGTGAGAGTGGGGGAGAGGATGAGTCTTTGCAAAGAAGGAATAGAACTGGACAATATATATCAGGAGTCTGTCAGAGCCATTGCATTCTCTTGTACTCAGATCTATTACTCCATCTAAAGAGAGACTCTAGCACAGGTATGCCAAGTCTTTTACAGGCTTTGAAGAGATCCCTTATTATAACAACCATCAAGCAAAGAAAAAAAAAATCTTGCATTGACAAGGGGAGGTTAATTAGTTTCACAAGACAGGGTGGACCATTCCTGGAGTCCTCTGAGAAGCTCTGTCAGCTCAGGAAACAGCAGATAGCATCAAGCGGTCTCTAGACAATCAACTAGGAACCACTAGCTAACAACTTTTAGTCCTGAAGTTCACCTGAAAGACAAGCAAATAATTATAAGCCTTGCTGACAGCCATTCCACTGGCTTCTATTGAACATCTCTGTCCCTGTGCTGTGGGCTCCATCCTGCTTATCATCAGCCCAACATGCTCAGCTGACATCAAAACGGTCCATAAGTTTGATCAGTGTCTCCCATTAGAGATATTTCTGCTCCTGGAATTCAAAGACAATGAAGCTAATGGTGATGAGTCTCTCTCTGCAGTGAATGCTTAAACTACATGAGTGAATTGTGGGGAAATGGGACACAAAGGCAAGTGCTTGTCCCCTTGGCCTTTGAAAGGATGTGTAATCCCCTTGGGGAGGGCAAGTAGGAACCCTGTGTGACCCACAAAAGTGACTACACTGCTAAATTCTCACTTGGTACATGATCAGTTAACATTGACTAAGTCTACAGTGTACCATGCTCTGGAATTAAAAGCTGATTAAAACCAACTCTGGCCTAATCAGGCCTTCTTTCATTCTGAATGCCCTAGGGGCTTTTCCAACGGCTTCATACCCTGCTGACGAAAGCACACATACCATTGTGGTTCCCACTCTGCCAGCGACTGTGAGGAGCCTTTCCGGCATCTTTGAAAGGGAGCAGCCACTTCTTGGGGGAAGGGGGGCACAATGTTCTGAGCCCTCCAGCAGACGGTGGGATTCACATTTGTGATTTAAGGTCGCAGTTGGCTCTAATTAGCCGCCAAGTCTAAGTGCCCACAAAGATTCACGACATCAAATAATGGTACTCGGCATTTCAGAAGTACAGAAAATGATACGTTTGGAACTGGCTCAATGACAGTTATAAAAGGGTTTTCCACCACTTTCCAACAAGCTCATCAAGCTGACAGCCAACCCTAGAAAATTAGGTTTATAGTGGAGTTGACACCTGGTCCACCATAAAAAGGAGGTTGGAATTATGATACTGACTCATTCACCACAGGCAGATAAGCAAACGAGGCAGGAAATTGAAGCCTCTAAGTACAATTTAAATACTAGTTCTTACCTACTTTTAAATATTTGTCTTCTTACCAGACAGTGGGCACTTTGAATTCCTCTGTTCCTTCACTGGTATTTTATTTTTTATTATTACAGCTGAGGATGTTACAGCCAAATGCTGGATTTTGATTGCTAGTGAAGCTCTATAACAAATTATTATTTTTAAGCACATTTTACAAAAAAAAAAAAAGCCCATTCTAATTGTCCCCCAAATTTGTTTAGTATCCCAAGATAAGATTTCTGGATACTGAGAAGCCAGTACATGATTGTGATTCTCTGAACTTGATCTCCTTTTAAAGGCAATTTTCATCTGTACCCTGGAAATATAGAAAGCTGCATATAATGAGATGGCTTTCACAACAGGCTCCTTTGAAACAAGTTAACACCTGACGGAAACTAGCAGGGCCTGACTGATCTGGGGAGACATACCTTTCCAGTTTGGTGACTTTAGGCCAATGGCCTCACCATAGTAAGCCTCAGATTTAACCTCTCTAAGATGGGACCGTTACCTTTACCCAACACTTGGGGGTTAATTAAACTGTATTATGCATTAAACCAGCCTTGGCATCCATGAAACATGCACTGAATATTATTGATGTCGATGCCCTCTAGGCCCCATCCAAAACATTTGTTGACCACATTTTCATTGTCTACACAGATCTTAATGATGCTAACTCAAACGAAAGCCCTTTCTCCTTCCCTTTGTTCTATTCGTCCTTCCACTCAGACATCTTCATGAAAGCAGCTGGCTAGAGGACCTCAAAATGAACTTCTGATGGAAGCACTTTGATGGAAGTTCAGAGCCGTCAAACACAAGTCACCTTTCAGCAAGGCTAGCCTGGGAAGTTTTGCAGAGGAGGACTCCTGCAAAAGAGCCCAGAGGTTTTGTGGGCAACTCTTTTCTGTTCCACATCTTGCAACGACTCCATGCCTTTTTTTATTTTTTTCTCTTAAAGGAAAGCCAAAGAGTTCTCATCCCCCAAAGAATTGAGCAATCTGTGCATTCTACTTCAGGAGCCTTTCCAGGCCCATCCCTGTAGAACATGGAGCCTTTGTTGGCTCATTTCACTGTTGCGGTTGTTAGCACTAGAAATAGACCCAGTTATTCCATATTGAAAAAAAAAAAAAAGATTGAAAAGTGTTAGAATTTCCTTGGGAAATTTCCACATATTACAGCATTTTCCTAAGACTAGTAATTCTGCTTCTTATAACCCATGCTCTCTCTCTCTCCCCCTCTCTCTCACTATGTGTGTGTGTGTGTGTGTGTGTGTGTGTGTGTGTGTGTGTGCACATGTGTGTGTGTGCACGTGTGTGGAGAGATAGTGCATGTCTTTCTCTACTACTTGCCCCTCTATTTTCCTTGAGATAGGATCTATCACTGGATACAGAGTTCACGAATTAGACAGAACGCTTAGAAAGTAGGTCCCAGGGATTTTCTTGTCCCTGCCTGCTCCGCCCAGTGACAGGGCTGCCGATGTGTGCTGCCTTGCCTGGTGCTTTAGGTGGTTGGTAGAGACAGACATGGATCCCCACACTACTGTGGAAAGTGCGCTACTAGCCATTCCATGCCCTCAGACCCACTTCCTATCTTCCTTCTAAACTAGGTGCAGAGGAACCGACAGGGCTCTAGCTATCACAAGTGTATTCTTGACCCCCAAAGGCTTCCTCTGAGCAGCAAATCAGTTGGATAAACTTTGCTGGAGTGGCTACTTGTGGTATCCCTTTCCTAAATCTCCCAACTCAGACAACTTATTAGATTCCATTGGACTTTTTTTTTTTAATGTCCAAGTTGTAAACAATTGTACAGTGTAGGACCACCGCATCTGAATTTTTAGGATTCTCCTCACCACTGATCCTACAGGTCAGCCTGGGTTGAGAACCTATTTAGAACATGCTTTCCCACAAATACATTAGCTAGAAAACTGGGATGTTGTCTCTCCTGCTAACAATTTAATTACTTTACCCAGGTTTTAATTCATTTCCCAGGCATCTACAGTGAACAGAAAGAGGCATAAATCCTTTAAAGTGCCCAGGTCTAGCCATCCATGAAATTGTATTCAGGGCCCCAAAAAAATGAGCAGAAAGGAACTGAACATAGATCACCCAGACTCAGCAATCCTCTCACCTGAGACACAATACCACCTTTTGCCTGAGATGTGGCGGCTCCCAGGGGTAACCAGGTAGTTGTCGCCTGAGATAATTCTGGAGCTGTGGTCAGGGAAGGGGCAGAGGTCAGAGTCTCCAAAGCCTTGGAGGCAGAGCCAAGGTAGAAGAAAAGGACCAGAAGGAAGACAAGGCTGTAACTCATCTTGCCTTCTTAGCTAAGATGCTAGCTTCTCCCCAGAGCCCCAGGGCTTCTTATAGTTCCCAGTGGGGATTTCCCCATAGGTACTGTGTGAAGAAAGAGGAAACAGCCATAGACCATGTGACCCACCCTAGAAGAGTCAGGACATCTGCAACCTGAGTCCTGTCCACGCCCCGCCACCGAGCCCCACTCTGTGACCTGCCCTTAGACACAGATTTCCCCCCTGACAAATATTAACTCACAGAAGTTTCCTCCAGCCAATATCCGCTTTCTAACTTGATACTTCTTTGAAGGAAATAGAACCAACATAGACTTAGTGGACTGGACAAAGTTTGGAGGCCATAAGAAAAATGCAACCCTTGGCCTTCTGCCTAAAAATGACTTCTGAATGTTTGCTCCCATTTTGTTGAATTCCACTTTCCACAGAGAGAGTGGTATGCACTCACTTTAGAGACTATGACTCGCCTCTAAGATGTCTGAAGCCTTCCTCTTGAGGACTACCGCCTAGGTTGGTTCTGACCTTCTCCCTGCCTTGTCTGCTTCTAGATGAAGTTCTTTAAACAGCCCCACCAAAGCTTTGTTCTCCAGAAAGCCACTCTGCGCTCTGGGTTTCTAAAGGAAAAAAAAGAACCTAACAACCTAACTGAGCAAGGGACCTAGATGACCTATTGATTATTTCTCTAGGTGAGTGAATTGCTCCCAACCCAGCCAAAGAAGTCCAAGGGAAGAATTTCTCTGACCTCCATTGATACCCTCTGTGTGGAATAACCAGATATTCAGGACTCACAGATCACTCTTCACACTAGTGAAAACTGCCAGGATACTTTCTCTGTTACCTCGCTGACCTAGCCCAGAGCTTCAGTCTCCCTGCCTCTGCCTCTCTCTAACAATGTACACACCTCTGTAAGCTAAGGTTCCCCCCACCCCTGCAGAGGGAAAAAATGTATAGGTCTCTATATTAAAACCTAGCCCTGTCACTCAGGAACCGGTGGCCTTGGGCATGCCATTTAGACTCTTTGTAGTTATAACAATCCCTAAATTATTAGAACTCAGTAAAATAGTATTTAGAAAGTTGCTTATATGCTTTAAAGTGCTACACAAATGTCAAGGTTCTTCTGGTTTTGTGTTTAATTTCCAGACGCCCGGATCATTAAGTAAGGCCATGGAGTTTGAAACAAGAAAACCAGCCTGAGACTCTACTCTATCTCAGCCCATCCCAGGAGCATTTGCAAGAACCTGGTCTGCAGAGTTTTTTCACAGCTTAACCTCCTAAGCTCCATGAACTCACCAGATCAACATGGTGCTCACGTGAAAAGCCAAGTAGCTGGTTCAAATCCTCAGGGGAAGAGGTAGGCAGGAAAAAATGCAAGCAGGGGACTGGGAAGAAGAGATGGGGGACAGAACAAAATAAAAGCAAGCCTATGCCTTTTAAGTACCCCTAAATCTCCTTGGACTGTTTCCCCTGGTCCAGGGCTCCTGACTCAGGAGGACTGAATGAGCATACCACTCAGACCAGTCTCCACAGTCTCAGAGTTCACATGACACCACCCCCCAGGCTGGCAGTGCTGCCTCCACCACTGTCCACACTGAAACACACTTGTCAAGCCACCAGAGGGTGTCTGCTCAGGCTGTGCTATGCCTAGTCCATGGGACATGGGCTTGGGAGCAGCTGAAGGAGACCTAAGAAGGATGGGAACTCAATGACAGAAGCATTTTAGAAACAATGTCATCCCCTTAACATCAGTCCAAAGGAAAGCTGTGGTGAAGGTCAAGGTCAGAGACAGCTGACCGAAGGCAAGCTGTTTAAGGGTAAGAAATGTATTTAAGCTCCTATCTCTCTTACTTTTCCCTCTACAGTTTCATGTTAAAAGTTCAATAAGCTTATTACTCTAGGATGATGTTTCTGTGTAACCTGTTTCTATCCACCTCAAGGAAGAGGGCAAAAATTGTAAGTTATTCCCCTAAATCTGCAGTCATATTAGATTTCAAGAACAGCCATGACTAACAGAACAGGCTATTTCTCTGATGATAATAACTCTTTATGTTGAAGAAGCTACATTAAAGAGCAGATTACCTTGTAAATTCTTATGAGTATCACCAGAAAATTACATAGATTAACAGACTAGCAATTTATCAGATTTTTTTTTTTAAAGAATGGACAAGATCACTAGTGATTATGGGCAACACCATATCTTGTTCAGGATTTCTGTATTAATTACACATGTTGTCTTGTGACTTAATTCCTACTTTTAAACTTAAATCTCATGTTAAGTTCAAAGAAAAACCTGAAATTAAAAAAAAAAGTTCAATAAGCAACACATTAGGTTTAACATCAGTAGGCCATTTCATTTTGGAGATATACATACACATATAAATATATATATATATATATATATATATATGCATACATATATATATGGATTTTTTCAAGACAGTATTTCTCTGTGTAGCCCTGGCTGTCCTGAAACTCACTCTGTAGAGCAGACTGGCATCAAACTCACATTGATCCACCTGCCTCTGCCTCCAGAGTGCTGGGATTAAAGGCATGCGCCACCACGCCCAGCTGGGGCTATATTTATAATAAAATAAAAGCAGTCTGTTTAATATTTGAATTGAACAAGATATCCTTTAATTTTTTTTATTTCTGGGACTCTCCTATTGAAGCAGGATGTGGACTGTAAAATTCATTATTCCCTGTTGGAAATAATTCAGCCTTGGCTTCTTTGACAAAATGTTCTAGTCTCTTCAATGTTTAGCCCAAGACAGAGAAAGCAGAGGACATTTGTGAGAATGAAAACTGATGCACAGACTCCATTAGACTGAGGCTGAATGCTATGAATATAGATGTAGAGAAGAAAGCATGCTTCTGCCTCCCATCTCAGGTCCCCTCTTCCTCCAGATTCCCACCAAAACAAAAAGTGAAATCTGCTCTCATTTGCTGATAGCCCTGCCTGTGACTATAATTAGCCTTCCTTATCCCTGTTTTCAAAAAGCATGTTGGGTCCCTTGTCGGGGAGGGGGTTTGGAAATCTCATTAACAATTGTTGCCTGTTGCCATGACTACCCTTGAAGGCTTCTGTGTGTCCTAGAGGTGAGTCCTCTAGAAGATGCCTTACCAGAGGAGTTGTAACCTACAGAACTGAGGCAGCAGTTTCCCAGGCAGAGGAGACACTCAGCCAAGAGAACCAGCACCCCATTGTGCTTAGAAGCCTCTTTGTTCCTGGACGTCTCTATGTTTCCAAACTTATTTGGAAGTCTCAGATACACAAAAGCCTCAGCGCTACCTCCACAACAAGACCATTAATAATAATAGTTTGATCAGTTTCTCTGCAAACACCTTTGTTGTAAGAAGCAACAAGCCTCTGGTTATTTGACAGCCTCGGAAACTATGAGAAAATTATCAGGGCTTCAAAGCAAGCATTGTTTTATTTATTAAAAAAAAATGTAGCCCAAGCCGCATTTCCCTTATCGTAAGGGGTCACTGAAATCCACTTCACTAACAGCATTCCTCACTGACAACTTGGAAGTTATTTATGCACTCCGTGGGTCACTCCCCAGAGCTATACTTCCTGAGCAGGTGCAACACATGAGGAAGAGATCTGAAGAGATAACACCTTAATTTAATCCTTCTATCATTAAATAAAAATAAAGAACAATGCCAAGCTCACTTTCACATGCTTTGAGAAAAGAGCACCTGAAGAGCATGAACTGCATACAGAGACAATAGAGACAAGGTTGACTCTGCAGATTGACAATAGAAGCTATGTTTAGGTGACCCTTTTCACATCGGTTATATACATCCCTAAAAATCATCAAATCTTGTTAACAATATCAATAAACCAACTGTAAAAGTACGAATCAGTTGACAGCATATACCCGTTCTGAAAAGCGGTCCTTTGTTAATAACTGGACTAGAGCCCAATCCATGGGAAATAACCTACTCTATCATGAGTTCTAAATAATAAAAGAAAACACTAAGCCCAGCCAGCACCGGGGAAGTAGAGAAAGATAAAGCTCTGAATTGCTTACTGGCCACGCTGTCTGCCTTACCAGGAGAGTTCCAGGCCAATGAGAGACCCTGCTTCAAAAGAAGAGATGGGCAGCACCAGAGGAATGACACCATAGACTGACCTCTAGTTTGCACATGTATTAACACACACATACACACACACACACACACACACACACACACACACACACATACAAGAGAGTAAAGAAGTGAGAAGAAGAGGAGGAGAGAAAAGAAAAAAACACAAAGAGAGTGGGAGTACACATTTGCTAAAGAAATTGTCCAGTCATTTTCAATGGCAGATCCTGCTGAACACAGTATCAACTGCATAAATCCTGAGGAACAGTAGACAAAGCAGGGAGACCTGAGTAGGTAGGTTAACTCGAAAGAACTATCCACAAGCTGAATGTATAAAGAGAAAAGATAATAGTGTGAATCTCCAGCTCCTAGACCAGTGTCTACCACTTGGTGACCAAAACACACTGAGGAAAATACTAAATGAATGAATGAATGGATCAATCAATCAATCAATCAATCAATCAATTTAGCATGGGTTATGGAGGAAATTCATAAATAACTATTGGCAAAAGCACACATTGTTTAAGTTAGTTGAAGATAGTGGAGTAAATTATAAGCAGGAAAATTTGGGCCCCCTGAAGTCTCTCCAAGGTCAGAATTACGCCCACACCCTTGAAGTCTTGTGCAGTCAGCCCTCACATCTCATCCTTGGGTCAAATTCATCCCTGAGCCACAGTTCCACAGTCTGTTGCAGATGCCCTGAATCAGAATTTTTAAGACCACTCTATACCAGACACTACCTAGCTTAGCTATCCTACCATCATGCAAACACCAGATCACAGATTTCAACCAAATTCTTAGATTTTTCATTGTAGAAAAATCACAAAATATTGACAATACACAGAACCAGTGCAAATTTCTGATCAAATAGCAATGGAGAACAGTGATGTTGAAAGGTAAAAATATTATCCTTTAAGGAAAAAAATGAAACTTTACATCCTCCATAGAGATATTTTATGCTAAGGAAGTACA